AAGGGAGAAAGCCATCAGACCTGACCTGCAGAAGCTGCCCAACACTAGTTAACACATCTGTAACGTATCCCTGTGTTCCCAAAGGTGTGCCAATATCCCAGCCTGGGTGCTCTGTGCTAGCAGCCCAGTGGGACTGATGCTCTGGGCTGCTCTTGCTTGCAAGCCAGAGAGCTCACTTAGGTGTTAACAAACCTCTCCCCTCGAGCAGGGGTCATGCACCAGCTTGCAGAAGCACTCCTACCCCAGCAAGGTGGCCAAGGCTGCTTGATGTTGCTTGGTGCTTTGACACTCAAGTTTGGTGCTCCAGTAGCTCTATAGTTTCTTGTGTTTGTGTACAAAACCTTCCCCTGCCTCTGCCTGGAGCATGAGACTGGTAGGAAAGGAAAGCGGCTAGGGATGGTTTGGGTGGAGACCCTCCTCTGCTCTGAGAGGCTTTGCTCTAGCGTTAACTCTGTTGGCAGTAGCCTCCTTGCCTGGAGGCTTTGACCCACAACCTCAAGACCCAGAGAAGGGAGCACTGGGCTCCCAGAGCCCCAGCCTGGTGCTGGTCCCAAGGGAAGGCTGGCCTCTTGCTCTTCCTGGGCTCGGCTTCGCTGCCCCTTGGGGTGCTGCTCCTGCAGTCAGTCCTGGAGCAGCAGGAGCTATTTCTCTTTGATCCTCACCAACCATAGCTGCCATCAGGAACTCCGAGACAGGCCCATCTGTGTCCTAAATCCTGTCTCTTTGCCTGCAGTCCTGTTTAGGAGACCCACCCTTTGTAGCCCTCCTTGCCACAGGAGGCACTGGAGACAAATACAAAAGAGGAAAGGGATTGACTCTTTGAGCAGAAGGGGGCAGCTCTGAGACCTGTGTGCTTTTCTCCAGCCCTGCAGGGGCTCCTACACGAGCAGGGGTGGCTGTGATGATCTTGTCTGCATCAAGATTTGCCTCTCCTTGTGGTGGGGGCAGCGGTACAGACATGCACAAGGGGGAACTACCAGCCAGCACGGAGAGAGGCCAGGCTGTCTCTGCCCTTTGAGAACCTGTCTTCATCGGCTCCTCAGGATGTCTTTGAGAAGCTTTCAGAGGGAGAGACACAGTGTGTGCACGCAGCCCCACCTTCCCCCCCGCCCCCCAGCAGCTCCTCTGAAGCTGCTTCCAAGCCCCAGCATGACTCCTAACCACAGCTTATTATCTAGGCTGCCCAGCCTATTTGCAGACACTTGATGTCCTGGCTGAAGCCAAGAAGCTGGCTTACAGGGATGCAGCTCACCCAGAGGCGGTGCCAGGCAGGTCCCAAGGGAACGGCCATACCCTGTCCCCCTAGCTGATGCTGCATCCCACTGTCATAGATTGCCATCTTCATGTTTTCTATTCTAATCCTATTTTACCTGCTCTTTGGGCTACAGGGAGTCTTTCTGTCCCCTTTCCCTCCTTCCAAATCCTATATGGGGAGCCCTTTCCAATATTTTCATGACAAGGTTTTTCCAGACCTTGAATTGCTGCTTTCTGAACCCTCTGCCATTTCCTGAGACTTTCGTGGTAATACGGTGCCTTGGGGGGGTTTCAAGTTTTGCCATTGCTAATACTTTCATTTCCCTCAGATGCCCCAAGGGATTTACATGAGAAAATCACAGCAGCTACTCAGGGTCATCCCAGAAGGGAAGTCTGTTGTTTCCCTGATTTGGGAACACTTCTGCTTTATACCTGTTACGCAAGAATTCCCAGGCTGAACAGCATTTAGCCTTCTTAGCTATGTAATGCCTTGAAATAAAGATCAGTTTAAGGACTGATTACTCTCAAATGACACCCAGTTCAGATTCTGTTAACGAAGCCTTGACTTTGTTTTAAGCTCTGCTGGACCTGAGCAATCCTTGGATGTTGTGCAAGTGCCCAGCACAACATCTTTTGCTGAGAGAAGCAAGTCAACAACATCCCCAACTGACACTGGTTTCCACAGGGCTTGAAAGTATTCTGCAACCCAAGAAACAGGTCCTGAGGACCTGATGGAGCCAACCCCCTGCAAGTCATCAGGGTTTTACCTCTAAATGGCCCAGATAGGACGCCACATTCTCCTTCAGTGCAGCCACACTGGACACCACGCACTGGAACTTTTCCTCCAGGTCGTCGTATTCCCTGTCCTCCGTCTGCAAGGCAAGGGACAGCTTATCGCCAGCACGGGTAGGCCAGGCAATGCTGCGGGCAGGGCTGATGCCCCTCACTGGGTGTTAACAAAAAAAAGCAGCCAGGCACCTGCCTGAAGCTCACAGTGCTGGGGACAGGCAGGGGAGACCCTGAGAGGCTCCAGGAATCTGAAAAGGGCCAAGATCTAGGGTGCTTGGGATGCACGCAAAACAGGGCTTTCGGTGTAGTTGTGGTGCTGGGGAACACCAGGGTGTCTTTCCTTTCACTGGGGTGCCTGAGGATCCTATGAATCCTTTGGGGGCCAAAGAACTCCCCTGCAGCACTCTGAGGCAGGGAGCAAGCTGGTCCTTGGGATTAGGGACCAGGAGTCACCCTCAGGCTGCTTGAAAATGGAACTGTGGCTCATGTGACAGCACAAGCCACTGGGTGTCAGCATTGGCCACGCCACCTCCGCCCCACTCTCAGAGGGTAGGGGTGGCTAGGGAGACAGCAAAAGCCACTGGGTGTCAGCATTGGCCATGCCACCTCAGCTCCACTCTCCCCATCCAGCTCGGGAGGCAGCAGAAAGGCCCAGAAACGACCCAAGGAGAGGCAGCGGGTCCGCAGGTGGTGGGGTGCGGGCTGCCCACCTTGGCCACGATGCCGGCCTCGTGCATGAAGAGCCGGCTCAGCCGTGTGGTCTTCTTGGCGATGGAGTGCGTGTTGAGGCGTGCGAAGCGGTCCCGCAGCGTCAGGTGCTCGGCCTTGTTGTATTTGGTTGCTGCCTCGGGTGGGGGCACACAAGGTGGGAGGAGAAAAGATCAGAAGAGGAAACTTCAGGGCAGCATCCTCAGCAGCCTGAGTGGGCAACGTGGGTGAGCAGCACCGAGGCCCGGAGCTGACAAGTCATGATCAACAGGATAAGCACAACCCACATCAAAGAAGGGCAGCCCTGGGGAAAGTACTGTGAAAACTAAAAAGAACAAGCTCCGGTTTGTGGGAAGCCTGATTTCTCCTATCCCAAGGTCAGGACTGTCCCTCCCCATTCCCCAGCTCCAGGAATGCAGACTGACTGGTTTTGTCCTCAGCCCCCCTCCCCATGCCACCCTGCTCCTGCAGCCTTCAGGTCTTGCCCAGAGTGGCATTTGCAGGACCAGAGCAGTGCCGGGAGCTGCCTGCACCAGTCTGTGGCTCCACCAGGCAGGATGGGTGTAGGGCAGGGGAGCTTTGAACAGATTTAAGTGGGAATTAGTGCAACACCAAGGGGAAGCAACTGGGGTTGGGATGGGGCTTCCCAGGCGCCGTGCCCCCTGCCTGTGCTGTGCCCACTGCCCACTCACCCACTTCTCTGCGCCGTTTGTACTCATTGATGTTGGCGTTGACCTGGCCCATGGCGTGGACAGCTGCTTGCAGGGCCGGGTAGGCACTGGCACTGGTGGGGGTGTTCTCCAGGATCTTCCGCAGCAGCAGCGGGTATTTGGTGACCCTCTGCACCGGCATCACCAAGAAGAAGCTGAGGTCTGATGCGCCCGTGTGAGGCCTGATGGAGAGGGGGATCGGTCAAGGTCGGCGTGCAGGGCTGCCCTCCTGCCCTGCTGCTCCTCCCAGCTTCTCTGCAAGCATTTTGGGGACAAAGCAGCGCCTCTCCAGTTGCAGGGGAGCTTTGCTGCCTTGGACCCGCAGGCAAACTGTGCCCAGTAGCCGTGGGGGGTTTCTGGCTGTGAAGCCCTGCGCCCCGCCAGCTGTGGGGCCACCCTGCCTGGGAGCGCTGGCAGGGGGACGCCATCCCTGCCAGCCCCGAAGGCAGTGCCAGCCCCGGGCAGGCACCCTGCCTCCCTGAACAGTGCTGCGCTTGTCTAGTTAGGAGGCACAGGATCGGCGCTTGCTCCAGGGCAACGGGGAGGGAGGGTGTGGGCAAAGTGCAGGCAGGCTGCAGGCAGGACTCCCCTTCTACCTGCATGCAAGGCATCACTCATTTGGGAGTCACATCGCCTGTGCCCTGAAACAGAGAGCAGCAAATCCCAGCAGCTCCTCTGCTGCCACTCCTGCTTCTCCTGGCTCTGACAGTGATTGTGACCCTGGCAATAGCTTGGGGGGGGGGGGGGGGGAGACACCCCAGGGCCCATCTCTGGTCAAGCTGGGGAACATGTGTCCTCTGTGGTCACAGCCTCTTGGGCTGTGGAACAGGCAGGAGCTGTGGGTGCCACCCCATCCCTTGTTTTGGGGTCCACCATAAAAGACTACCAACCTATAGCACCCCTTTGGCAATTGGCTGTGAGGATGCAAGACAGGCTGTCAGGGACTACTCCAGGCAATGCCACAAATGTGATGGATATGACATTACACTCAGCCTGGTAGCATGTACTCGTGCAGGCAGCTCCTCCAGAGAGGAGAAGGACAAGGCCAGTAGGTAAAACAGGGTGGTGGCCTCAGCAGCAGGTACCTACACTGTTGCATTCAGGGTCTCCAAGATCTCCTGCTGCAGCCTGGGGTCCTTGCGGTAGCTCTCTACCAGCAGGAGGGCATGCTCGTAGCTGGCACAGTAGATCTTGTAGACGGTCTCCATCTCCTCCTTGAACTCCTGGAACAGGGCACCTGGGGAAGGAGAGCAAGGCTGGAAAGGATGGTCCTTTCCTATGGCCTCAGAGAGAGGCAGAGATTTCTCCCCAGCCTGCTGGAAGGGTGAAGCTGGCAGAGCAGTGCCAGCCAAACGTTCCGGGGCAGTGCTCTGCCCCCCAGGCACCTCTGCTAAGCTGGGCCTGATGCTGCCCCCTCCCTGCTCCCAAGCTTTCTGCAGGCTGGGCAGCTCTGCCTTGCCGCTGTGGGGTGAGCGCGGGTGGCTGCCTGCAGTGTGCCCGCAGCAGCGCTCTCCAGAGCCGAGGGAGGTGCAGGAGGTGTCAGGGCGTGTGGGCTGGGGGCTGCACCCGGGCACAGCGCTGGGCAGCGGCACTGCCAACACCAGCAAATGCATGGGTGGGCACAGGTCAGCTCTTGGCACTGTACCACTTACTGATGCGGAGCAGCTGCTCGTGCTCCTGGGTAGCTGCAGCCTCAAGACCCTTCAGGAACCGTCTGGAGACATGGAGGATGTCATCGGTGTTAGAGAAGAGTCCTTCCAGGTCAAGATCAGGCAGCTGAAGGGAACAGAGATGCCCCAGGTTAAGCCAAAAATATCAGACAGAGGCGGACCGTGTGTTCTGGAGGCACTCATGTCCTTCCGGCTGCCCCATGCAACACTTGAGGAGCTGGAGTGATGCTCTGTTTCAGGAGGCACTGGGGACGCTGAGACCTGGCTGTGCTTCTGAGCAGGGCAATGAAGCCTTTTCATGTTACAGATGCAGGGTTAAAGCCGTAGGACGGCCGTACCGGGTCAGACCCAATGTCCATCCAACCTAAGACCTTGGCTGATCGGGGGAGCCCAGGAAGGTGAGCACGTGGTGACCTCCCTGCAGTGATCTGGGCATCTCACAGCTCTCGACAGATTCACGCTACGGTCCCCAGCTACTGGGTCGGGGGACATACCCCCTCTCACCTCTTTCTTCTGGAGGTGTGCCCGGATGTCCGACACACAGAGCTGGATGTTGTGGACGTAGCTGGCCTCAGTGGTGATGAGCTCCTCCACAGCCAGCCGCTGGCTCAGCTCCATCCTGCTGCAGGGCATCACCTCCTCGTAGATGGCCTCAGCTGCATCGTCAGCATCAGGCTCTGCCCCATCGGTGCTCGCCATGTCAGTGTGACACTCTGCAGGGCGTGGCAGAGGGTTAGGGACCCATGCTCCGGTGTCCAGCCCAGCTCAGTGCCCATGCTCCCTCCTCTGTGTCGGGGGCACCCCGCAGCACATCCCCAGGGATGCTCAAGCCATCTGCACTTACAAGCAAAGTGTGGATGACATTCCAAAACCACAAAACCATAAAGCGCTGCAAGCCAGGAGCGGGCTGGCAGCGGAGGGCAGACACCCACGTGTGGCAGGCAGGGGCTTGCTGCACACCCGTGCCCAAATTCCAACGGCCATGTGCGGGGCCAGGATACAGGCAAGGGGAGCCCCAGCTGCAGGCAGGGGCCCGGCAGCACTCACCCAGCACCGGGACTGCGCAGGGGCTGGTCCCCGAGGGCAGAGCAGGGTTTGCCGCCTCCGCTCCCACTCCGTGCTGCTGGGGCTAGCAGTTCCCTCCCTGCCTTGGCTGTCAGCGCCTGGCGTGTTGCCTCGCATTCAAGAGTCCTGTCCAAAGTACAAAGAGTATTTTTTGCAGCGCGTGAACACGGGATGTTTCTGTGGCAGGGAGGGCTGGTTTAAAAGCCACAGAGATGGGGGAGAGAAGTGGGTGAAGCTGCAGGCACCTCTGTCAGAGGCGCTCGCAGCCCCTGGTGCGCAATGCCTATGCCCTGCTCAGCACCGCCCGCTCCCCTCTCCTCTCTGCCTGCGGAGAGCGTGAAAAATTGGAGCTGATTCATGCTGTTTCCTTCTCAGGGAACATCCTTTGCTCTAACTGATGCTGAGGAGGACGGCACAGCTCCCAAATCATCACAGATAGATAGTGCTCGGCCCAGGCAGGAGGCCTTGAGAGAGAGACACGGCACAGCCCACGCCGGCCCAGTGCACAGCTCAGCCGGATCCAGACCCCAGGCAGGGGGAGGGATGCTGCCAGGCACACCGCCCGCTCCCCTCTCCTCTCTGCCTGCGGAGAGCGTGAAAAATTGGAGCTGATTCATGCTGTTTCCTTCTCAGGGAACATCCTCTGCTCTAACTGATGCTGAGGAGGACGGCACAGCTCCCAAATCATCACAGATAGATAGTGCTCGGCCCAGGCAGGAGGCCTTGAGAGAGAGACACGGCACAGCCCACGCCGGCCCAGTGCACAGCTCAGCCGGATCCAGACCCCAGGCAGGGGGAGGGATGCTGCCAGGCAGCCTGCCTGCGGAGGCTGCGGAGGAGGTGGCCTGGCAGGATAAAAGCGAGATGGCACAAGCAGCAGCAGAGGGAGGGTGGCTCTGCATCTGCCCTCCGCCCAGCCAGTGCCCACCTCCGCGCCATGCCAGGCCAGGCCCGGCGCCCGCTCCGGAGGCTGGGACAGCCTGCGCCTGCAGTGGGAGCAGGGCAAGGGGCTGGCAGGACAGCCTGCGCCTGCAGTGGGGAAAGGCCCAGCTAAGAAGCAGGCGACGCAGTTGCGAGCACCGGGCAGGGTGAATGCCCCCTCCTGGCACATGCCCAGAGCTGCGCTGGAGGAGAGCTGGACTTGGCACAGCAAGCAAACGCCAGTGAGAAGGAATGGGACCTCGCCTGTCTTACAGGTGCATGTTCCCCTGCCAGCTGTCATCCCTGCGCTCTGCGGATTTGGCTGCCACCCCTGCCTGTGGCACGGCGCTGGCTGCCCAGGGGCACCAGGGG